AAGAAATAAATGCACCTTGATCCTACGAGAAAACTCTGACAACACAGCGTATAGTAAGACTTGCGAGGCTTGTAACTTGGTTCATGAGCTTTTAATCACTCCCGCGACACACACCTGCACACAATGTGTCACCCGAATTTACCCATTGAATCAAGGCACATTAATTTTTTTTCCGCTGCCAAATGGAAGGGAAGGTGCGACAACATTATCCTTTTGTCTTACCCTAGCATGAACTAGCTGGTAATGGTACAATTACAAGCGAGTTGCTTTCACTGGTGTCCCTCGAGCTCTCGTACAACCAAACCGCAATTAAACGCAGGGCACTTGCCCGCACTTGTAGCCACTCCGGCTAGTCCATGCTAAGACGCGACAAAGCATGGCAGGAAGCCTGCCACTACAGCACGTCGGAAGCCGGGCATGACTGGCGAGTGCAAGCGCCACGTGAGTCACATGAATGTTCCGCAATAGCTGCGTGACTTAAAAGAACCCAGATGAAACGCCGTTCGTTGTGCCATTCAGTGGTGCAGGGGTAGAACATCGGGCTCCTAATCAAAAGGCTGTGGGCTCGATCCCCCTATAGGGGAGACATATCCTTGATCTTCTTTCATTAAGTGAACCCTATCTTTGCTTTTATTCTCGTGTTCTTCTCATTCGACGTGCTTCCGTGACCGACTGGGTAATCCATGTTGGTCTAAAACAACTGGATCGGTCGTTGCATGCTCTCAACCCTAGATATATAACACACCGTATAATAAATAAAACAAGCGTCCCGCAACGCTTACCATAGGAACCGTCACTGGCATCACTAACAGTGAGAAGGTGCAACGCAACATCGCATCGCTCGGATGTAGCCCATCAAGAAAAGATTGCGCAATCTGTCAGCTGCAATCAATCGGGAAGCAAAATGGCCTCCCTGTATGTTTCGATTGAATCGGTGCAGTGGGTGGACTCACTGTTCTATGTGCGAGGCTAGCATCTGTGTATATCTTTGCTGAGTGAGTACTCTGGGCTGCACCGGAAATTATTTTCTCGCGTCCATTGCTCTCATCAAGAAGAGCGTCACACTATCACCGTGCTCCTAAATAGCATGGATGCAGCACAGCGCTTAATGTGAACTCTTTCGCACACTACAAAAATATTACCCTCTACTTATGCAAAAAGAGAAAACACCTTCGGAATTTCACTAAAAAACATATTCTGAAAACATGGAACCCTAACTATAGCCACTCCAGTGTATTATATACTTGGGCAGGGTTGGCCAGGCTGACGCGGCCTAAGAGCTGCAAACAAAATCACAAAATTTTCAAGAGCCGCAGAGGGAGGGAGGGAGGGAGGGGGGGGGGGGCGCAGCAGGAAACTCAAACTAATTTCGGTCTATCTTATATGAGTCAAAAGCAGTCCAATTGTGCGTAAGGCAGCGGTAGCACATTTAAAACGTGTTTCATTTCTCTCTTTGGGGAAGTGCTCCGGGAGAGATGGTGGGGGAGAGAGAGAGAGGAGGGATAAGGGAGGGAGCGGCGAGCCGCAGCTTGGCCACCCCTCTACTAGGGCATCGCCATGCAGGTTCTCAAGGAGGTTGGGAACGGCCTTCCCCTCTAAATTAACTCCTGGCATTGTATACTAGGCGATACCTGCTGTAGTCTATCGGTTACCTTTGCAGGGAGATGGAGGCATCGATGATCTCACGTACGGCAATTGCCCATGTCGCACATCATCATGGAAGGTCTCCATGAAGCAGGCAACTTGTCCTGTCGATGGAGACCCCAACATATCCTGCATATGTGGGTAAAGTGCCTAAAATTTAATTTAATTACAACTACAACTACTTCTCTCCAAAAGCATCATGACATCAAAGCTTGCCGCTTTCCATAGATGGGGCTCACCAGCACAGCCTGGCCTTTTTTGGTCGGCCAGGGCGTCGAGTGTGTTTTGTAGCGACCCGTCACACGCCCTCAAAGTTGAACTTGCGTCGTATTCAAATTTCGGAAGAGAAGCCTACTACCAAGTATGATAGAATTGTAGCAGGGGGTCATGATGTTAGCTCCGTAGCCCCCGCAACCCAACCTCTATTATCGCCAGCCCCTTTGCCGTCTACTTCCTCGCCCATCATGACTACCCGTCATCCCTTGTGGTTGACGCTTGTTCGAAGGGAAGGACTGGCTGGCACTGCTGGGCTCTGCGCCGCTATTCATCCCAATTCCCAAATGGAGACTGCGGCTGACCGGTGACATCCGTCGTCTGCTTCCTTGCTTCGGTACCTTGCTTCGGTTAAGGAACTGTTTTTTGCAGATAGTATAACGTGTTGAAATCACTTCCCTCCTAATTTCAACGGCAATTCATCTTGGAAGTGCCCGCGCAAAGCTGGTGTTGCGATGTGTGGTGATATCAAACGCAGAGAGTGCCTGAAGAATTTTGAGGTTGCTCAAACGATTTGTGGATTTGTTTGGACGCACTTTATGACGAACAAATCAGCGGCAAGCGGCTCATAGTCAGATCTTCTAAATTGCCGATTGCGACACTTCCCTGATGACTTGCTAAGTGCTTGGATATGGTCAAAAACTTTGAGTGAAACCTATTTCTTTAGACTACGTATATGGAAGGCTCCGCTTCCCGGGGCACGATGACCCAGGTCCCCTCTACAGCCCATCGAGTTTTCGGACGGCGCTCGGATGCGCGCTCAGAGTGCAGTTCAGTGTTACTTTGGTGCCATCGGACGGCACTCAGATAAAACCTGGATTGAAACAGTTCGCTTTTATTGTTATTGCGGTCACTGTGTAGGTCACTCACTGAGGTGAAGAGGAGGTGAGACGGGGTCCAGTCACCGCCGCGATCAACGACCGAAATCCAGCAGCCCCATCCTGGCCCCTCCGACACGCGATGCCACATACGTTCGATTCCTAGAGCTCGCCTGTTCATCGCAGTTCGCCCAGTCTGCCGCTCACGGCTGCGCTAGCTATATCCCTTCCGTTCTGATAAAACCCACTAGACAGAACGAGTGAACGGGTGTGGTTTCACAAAACATAGTGTCTAGAAAACTGTCCGACGGCACTCTTGCAGAGCGTTCAAATGCCGTCCGACGGTACTCCACTCGCGCGTTCAAGTGCCGTCCGAAAGTCTCGTATAAAACGAGTTCTCAAAACGACTTTTACGAAGGGGAGTGTGGCGTATTGGTAAGATGTGTCACATAAGCACGTGATCCCGGGTTCGATCCCCAGTGCGGGCTTACTTTTTGTTTTTGTTTTCTCGAACATTTTATTTTGCCGACGCATTTGGCGATATGTACATTTATTTTTTTTACCATTAACACAGAAAAAAAACGAACGCTGTGGCCGAAATTTCGCTGAACGAAATAGTATGGTACTTCGTTTCCGGAGGTGCATCGGGTACAGCGGGGCTTGTTTGCCGGCTACACGCCGCGAAGCGGCGTGTACGACAGGGCCAAATGGGTCAATAGTTTTGTAATTAGCAGCCGCATACTGTCGCCGCGAAGCGTCGTGAACGCAGGCGGGGGTGTGTGTTAAGGCCCGACCACACTAGCGTGAACGGCGCCACCGGGCGGCGCCACCGGGCGGCGCCGCCGGGCGGCACCGCCGTCCGGCGTCCCAACGCGAGGAGTCCACATACGAGCGTTTCGCCGCAGTAAGGTTGCAACGCCTATTGGCTGAGAGAAAAAAGCAAAAACAAGCAAAACAACATAAATCGGAAGTGACGTAAGTTTTTGTTTTGTTTATTTTTTAATTTTATTTTTTTGCGCGCGTACGTATATTTTTGTTTTGTTGTTACTTTTGGTTCCTCCCAGAGGGTTCCTCCATGGCACTGTGGGTTCCTCCAAGTGTTTGTTGGGCGCTTTTCGGAGCGGTTGCATCGGTTCCAACGGTCTTTCTTGTTTTATACGTTGTCGTGTTGAATATGTGCCGCGGTATTGCTAAGTGGAGTTGGTCGTGATATTCAATGCTTGGGAACGAGCGTCGGCAGTGAAGTGAAGTCCACAGTGTCCACAGCGCATTCATGCAAGCTAGCGGGCCCCGTCTCGCCACATCGATGCCCGTGGGACGCTTGTTCGGAACGTAAAAGGTGAGTGGAATTTACCTACTGGTGGCGGCGTTCGATCGTCGATTCGGCACCGCTGTGGTGGAATTTGATAGCGCTTGGCTACCTCACGTAGCGTCGGGGACAAAGAAGATAATAGAGATAATCAACGGAAGTGGCATGTGACGCCTCCTGCGCCCCATTTGCATTCAGTAATCGCACTTCAAGAAGGACCAAGCGCGTTGGGAATGTCGGCTTTTGACGAGCTCGTGCAGTCATAAAAGCGTTCTGTCGAAAGACGGGATTTACAAACAGATCAGGCTTCGCGAATGGCCCTCCCGGCGCGTCGAATTTGTGGCGGGTAATAATGTTACTGTTCATCCTGGTAGACCTGCGATGGTGTTTTCTGCACAAATACTGTACTCTGCCTGGTACATTCACACCTGCAGCAGAACTGCTACGCGATTCTGCTACAGGTTAATCGCGAAGAGTTGTGCTCTTCCATAATGTGCATGTTAAAGTGACAACAAATAGGTGCCTCTCTATTCTACTTCTCCTTTGGTATTCAACTGGTTGTATTTTCTACTACATTTTGTTCACAAAGCCACTGCGAGACAGGCATTATTGATGTATACTATCCAAAATAAAGCTTGAGCATGAGGCGAGGTAACAGAAATACTTCTATATGTGCATGCTTTTTGTGTTTTTGCAAGACAAGGTAACAGAAATACTTCTTTAGGTGCCTGCTTTTTATGTTTCTGCAATTCACCGGCTAGACCACTCTTCTCATGGTTATTGTTTTGTTGGGTGCCAAATTTTCCACCCCAGGTGTCCGATGCTTGCGGCTGATGGCTTCTACCTATGTGCATCAAACAGCAAGCCTGCACCTTCGCCGAGACAGCAGTAAAACAGTTCTGGGTAACTGCAGCGACTGGGTCACCGATGTCGTTCCACTTCCTGCACTGCACTCTGCATGGGTCAAAGGGCCAGCGCATGCCTTTTATGGGTTGTCGCCAGCCATAGTGAGTATGGCTTGGAGTCACGTCATGCGAGTGAAATGCTTGTCACCTGAGTGACGTCAGGGGGGGGGGGGGGGGCACCGTCGCTGCCGCCGTTGGTGGGGCTATGACCCAATGGTCTGCGATCACAGACCCCCAAGCACATTGCACTGTTCCTGGATGAACTAGCCGCTCTTGAGGAAGAACAGGGTGCTTTGGGAAGAGATATGGTGTCCGCTTTTTCACTAGCTCCAGCTATCGCCACAGACATTTTGTCGAAAGGAGCAACATAGACGCCGCCGAATGGCCGCAAGGGGCCTCGCTTCTGACCGAGGGGGTCAAGATAGTCCCGTTTCAACAGAGGTACCTCTTGGGGTATTGTACAACACAGGAAATAAAGGGCCCGGAAGTTTTCTACCTTGACGAGGTGTGGGTTATGGCAGGACCAATTTTCTCAAAGGTTCGAGTAGACAAAAATGCGGCTTTGTTCCGTGGACACCTTCATGTGTGGTGGCACGAGGCAGTCATTGCTTAACTTTGCTTAAAGATCAACGACTGGACTGGTCAGGGGTGGCGTGCCTGAGAGTGGGACAGTAGACGGCTGTTATATACCAACTTTAGACTTCATTCACCCCTTAACTGACAGGGCACTGGAGGCTACATGCTCGGTGAGCCAGCCGATTGTCAGTCTTGCATCACTTATCATGCCCCTTTCTCATACAGATGTGCAGATCGGACATGAGGCAATAAAAGCTTGGCCCACCAACCACATGGCTCCTTCCGCCCTGTCAGCGTAGGGGTGAACCGAGCGTAGGTGCGGCAGGGTTGGTGGAGTCTGCTGAGTGCTTCTGGCGTAGCAGCTCGGCAGTGGTGAATTACTAGCGCACAAAATGCAATACCGCACTTTACTCTGAATGGTGCGAGCCATCGGAGCCAATCCAGTGCCGAAGGTGTGTCACGTGGCCTGTCCGTTGGGCGCAACGGCACGTTGAGCACAGTGTCATCTGGCAGCGACAAAGAGTTGGATTGGCTCCGGTGGCTCGTATCGTCGGCTGCGGTACAACACAAGGTGAAACGGAGTAGAATGTGATGGCATGTCGCATCACAGAAGGTGAGCAAAGTAAACAGATAAAAGTTTGATTTTTAGAGTGCCTATTTTAGGTCTTTGTTGCCTCTTTCGGTGTCCTTAAGAGCCCAAAGGCCTGCCTATCTCAACATTTGTAGTCCCTATCCTGGGCCCGCCACCAAGTTCACACCCATCCAAAACAGCATGAAACTGGCAAACAATATTCTAACCCTAAAATTAACCACACGACGCTTCAGAGAAAGCGTCGTGTGGGCATCCTTTTGTTCCGCAAGGCGTGCCTAGCCTTCAAATTTCTTGCGTTTGCTCTAATCAAGCTTTTGCGCAAACAGTTTTTTTCCAGTGTATCGTTCAACAAAAAGTTACAGCAGTTTTGTACTGAGCTGGTTACAGGAACTAATGCCATCTGTAGTTATCTCTTACAGCCGAGCTGTTTGAAGTCATGAAAGTTATAAACTACACGTTGCAGCGACTCACAATCGCATTCCTGCCCGTCATGCCGAACAGCGGAGCGCTAATTTCAGTTTGAGGTGTGCACTCTTACTACAATGCAGATGGTGACAGCATCAGGCTGCACTCGGTAAGTTAGTTTGAGACCGGTTCTTCGTGCGGCACTCTGGGAGATGACTCGCATAATGCCAGTGCGTTTGAAACGAGCTTGCTATAAGGCCCGCTACTCATGGGATAAGTTACTCATATAGTTTTTGGGCAGCTGATGTGTTATTCCCCTCTCCACAGCAACACGCATTGCTGGGTTAGGGTACGAGCAGCTCCGACAACTCTAAGGTGTTTGAAGCGGCAGGAGCAGTTCAGGGACACAATATTTCCCCGTGACCTCCCTTGCAGTAGTGGTGATGGTGCGTTCAGTTCCGGCTCCCTCAGCTCCGAACGGAGTAGTTCGAGTTGGAGTTCTCGGTGCACCTACTGAATGTCAAAACAAGCGCAGCTCTTCAGCCGCTGAGCACAATTGCTTTATTTGACGGCTGTATTGAAGAAGTCTTGATAAGGTTGTTAAAGGAAAAGCGAATGGCTGTTGTGGGAGCCACTGGTTTCCCTCCCCCAAGGGGACGTAAGCTGCGGACGTGCAGACATTCCTTCTGGAGTCGTCTGGCTTTAAGCCTGCTCGTTCCGAATCTTGTCAGGGAGAGTATGCCACCCTGCTGGCCTACTCTCGCACTCCTCCGCACGTCTCCCATTTTCGGGGGACCTGCGAGATCGTGTGGGACGGTCTTGTGAATTGATGACCGTCTGGCGATTAGTCCTGGAGTGTGCTACGGGCGACGGGTCAAGTGTGAAGAGATCCTACGAGTGCTGTGCAATTTAGAACACCTTTAAAAAATCCTAAAGAAAGCTGCTTTTTTTTTTTTGTGTGTGGATGTCATCTCTGTTGGATTTTTCACTGGCCACTGTTGTTAAACTTCCAGAACTCTATGTGCCAAGAAATTGAGAGAGAGTAGGAGATGAGAGTGCAGGGATGTCAAAACGCAGAGCTCCGATTGGAACGATTAGTGGGTAGACCTAATGCTAACTGCCTTTTTCTGTACTGCACATGCAGAACGTCGGTGTCCAGCGTTTCGCATATGCATTCGAATGCGTTTGACGAGTGCAGTGGAGATAAAGGCAGCCTTTGTTTCTGCTGCACTCGTCGAACACGTTCGACTGCAGAATGCCGGTGTCCAGTGTTTGGCTCTTGCATTCAGACGTCCTCGACGAGTGCAGTGGAGACAAAGGCACCTGGCTTTAGGTGTACCCACCAATCCTTCTAACCAGAGCTCGGGTGTCCTGACGTCCCCGCGTGCTCTCTTCCACTCTTCTCCCTCATTTTCTTGGCACATGCATCATGGGCAGATTTTAAGGGTGGGGGGACTAGGGCCCCCAAGGTAAACTTTTTTCAGTGAAAAATCTACATACGCCAGCATTTGTTAGGAAGAAATGATTAGTGGCTTCCATCCATACTCGAGAACCGAACTAAACGCAATAGACTACTTCCATAAATTCCTGCATGCAACACAGTGCGCATTGCACTCTGGGAACTAGTTAGCCAGGGAGGAGAGTGGCATGGTTTCGGTTTCGATTGACACGTCGACAAGAGAATATACACGGAGTGTGGACTATAAACGGCCGTTATTTCATGTTTTCTGGTCCCGAGAACGCCATTTGTGGTCTTTAAACTAACCTAAGTGGCCAGACCTCGAAGCTTTAGCACAAGCCTGAGACGTATAAATGCTTGTTGTATTTTTGTACTTGCGCCTTTTTGTTAGCGTTTCGAGGTATCTGGACGAGCCAGTGCTGGGAATCTCGACGCTGCGAAGCTCGGGGATCTTGCTTGTGTATGAATCAACAAGCTGTAGCAACCAATAAGTATGCATACATCGAGCTCGTGCCTTTACATTAATGTTGTTGACCAGGAAGTTGTTTGTTTGTTTTTGCTTTTCGTGCGTCCATCGACGAAATATAACTTTTTGACATTACTGTTTTTCTTAATCACCTGAATATGCAAAGTAAAACTCGGACGCGCCATTGAAAAGCTCCATTCTAACACACTTCTCATCTCTTATCTGTACTGCCTTGCAGCACTGCACGAAGTGAAGTCCCCACCCGCTTGCCTTCCACTAATATTCAACATTGCGTATGCGCATAAAGCTATCCTGCAATAATATAGGTACATTTACACATACAGAAAGGAAAGCATAAGTCAAGCACTTGTGTGAACAATGTCGCACCGTTCGCCAGAAGTGCACCGGACGGGCATGAACCCTGTGGTGCACCGAACGAACGAAATTATTCAAGCGCATTTGACGGTTGCTAATGGCCATAATATTTGTTATGTGTTTGCTTTCTTCTTGACTGAGTATGCCGAGATCATTACAGACACACTGTTCAGGCACAGATCTTGGGCGTCAGTAAAAGCTCGTCCAAGACGGCTTAGTGAGGAGTAGGGGACGCTTGTTAGGGCCTCCGTCGTAGCTAGCCGATTTTAGCGTTTGCGAAAACTTATTCTTCTATCAGCATAAAATTTGAGTGTGAGATATGTGATCACGTGAGGAAGACATCATAGTAACATTTGTGCAGTACTGAGGTTGAATTTATTGTGTTTCCTTAAAAGTTAATGCGTCAACACTGGGCTCAACTTTGATACTCCTGTGAGGATGCGGCTTGCTTTTCGCCCAATGAAGTAACAAGAGGCGTACGTTTGGCAAACAAAATATGTGTTGGGCTCAAGGTGACCAAATTTCAGTTGTAGTTCACTGGTACTGGACGGGATTACTGACACTGAGCTCGAAGATGCACTCGTGGGGTGAGGTGACTAAGTCACGTCTTACTACGTTTGCATATGCACGCATAATATCCGGTGCTTCTGGAACCAAGGAGAGTGCCCCGGTCTTCGTTTTGTATCGGTCGAGAATGAGTGTATTGTACATTCGTAAAAAAAAGTCAGATAATCGAAAACACAAGCAGCGTATTCGGTCGCGGCGTGATAGCATGAGATGAAGCTGCTCAGTCGAAATGGAAACTGAGTGGCCAACTAGTTTTCAGAGTGCACTGCGTGGTATTTCGCCGCGATGGGGCGCGTCGGTTTTGGAAGAAGTCTATTGCAACGCCGCCATTTATCCCACAGCAGCCACTAAGGAAACTTCCGTCGAGTCACAGAAGAGCCACTGGCGCTAAAGTTCCTGCATAGGCTCCCTACGGGAGCCAGAGTTGAGTGTTCATTCCCGTACGCAGTCTTTCCTGCACGGCATATGGAGCCTGCTCCTCATCTGACTGAATTCGGCGGATGGCAGCACGGCGCACTCGAAAGCAGGGGAACGTATGCCAGGGTGCGTGCAACGTGTACTTTCGTGCACTGCATTTGAGTCTGCTCCTCACATGATCGGATCTCGGCGAGCAGTGGTGCGGTGGTACGTAGAAAACAGTCATGCAACTATGGCTCCTGTAAAGAGCCTATACAGGAACTCTACGTGGCGCCATCTCGCAGGGCCATTTTGCAGTAGCTAAATAAAACAACCTGCATGTTTTAATTTGTCGCAAAAGGGTGGCGCTGTTATCATATTTAGTTTGGTCTAGGTGGACGCCAGCGGTCCAGGTTCCAAGAGCGAGTTTTCTAACTGAGCGTTTTAATAACGCTGGTGTTTAGTGACATAACAAATATTAGGTTAACAAAACGGATTTGGGCAACATTTTGCCCATGATATTGTCTCCCTTCCCCCCCAGGCTGACCTATAAATTTGCCCCTGCTCTGCATTGCCCTGCATCTTCGGGTCAGATATTGGTTCCTGTTTACCTGATGGACTCCTTTGTTCTCTGCATTCATCATAGGTTACCGTCCTGAATCATGGAACAAGACTGCACTCTTAGGCCCACTCCTTTTTGGTGGATCGGGTCTTGCCATCTTCCCCTTTCGTGGCTTCCTGTCGTAATTAAATAAGTTGTTATATTTTTTTCTGATGGTGGTGCATACCTCTTGCCACACTTGACAAAAATAGTGTGGTGAATCCATGCCACAAATTACTGTGAAACATGCGAGAAGGTAATTATTGAGAAGATTAAGCTCCGAAAAGTTTGATGGAAAGACGATAGATATACCCCGTTTAATATTTCTGGCCACTATAAGCATGCTATCCCCCGAAGTATTTCAGCGAATCATTGCATCGGCTTTTGACCATTCACACTTGCAAGGAAAGGCTATCAGCAAGGGTTTTCTTCTGTTTGCATTTAATTACTGAAACAAGGGTTATAGACATTACCAAGTGTATTTCGGCACAACTAAATGTTCGAACTTTAGGCTATTTTGTTGCCATGATTTTCAGTTTCCGCTAAGGTGAATATGTGTTTTTACATTAATTAAAACAAGAAAACGAAAAAAACTGATTACGTTTGTCCTCGGAGTTTTTACAGAAGACCCATCGCTATCGCCATCACTATTTTGATTTTTCCAAGATGGCCGTTTTGTTTCGTGAACGTTCTGCGACTTCAGCAATTTACGCGACTTACGAACAACACTGCCTAATTGGTACGTTAATTTTGGTGGCTATTTATCGTGTAATATCGTGGGTGTCTTGTGTTTGTACAGAAAGTAGTATTTCAGGTTCAGATTGTTCTTTGTACAGCGTTAGCTCGGTGGGTCGTCTCCTCTGAACTGCTTGCCTTTTGTCCACGTTTGTTTCCCTCCCAAACCCATCACACTTTCTGGTTAATTTTCCTGTTTATAATACCTGCTATTTTGCTACCAAATATCCAGAAACGTAGATACTATGCAGCTCTACCTGCACTATTCTTTTTATGTTGCGCAATTGCAAGAACCGCTTTTGTTTTGAAATATATTATTTAACTTACGGCGTTCTATAATATCGTTAGGCAGCCCAGTTATGTTCGCAAAGAACACGTGGCTAAGCGGTGGCGGATAGCACTTGTGTTGATGAAATGTTTTGCTTCCGCATATCCGGAAAGCATCGGGCAGCTGTCAGCTATCTAGTGACGAGCCGAAGCAGGAAGGTAATGTTGGTGGTACAAAACTGAATAGTACCCTTTGTTAAATATTTATTTTGCTTGTCTGCTCGGCAGTGCCGCCTGTGCCTGGACAATACCTTAGAAGATAGTGCAAATACGGAGACAAAGCTGTACAGTGGATATACTCTGCATCTGCACTCTGAATAACGTGATGTCTCGGTAACCACGCACGCTTTGTTACAGAGAAGTTTGTTTCGCTACCTGCTAGGCATCACTGAGGTGCTTCAGCTGTGTGCCTTTATGTTACGCTAACGGAATGTACTGCACCTACAACAAGCAGTTGCAGAGGAGCGCCGTTTAGTGAATCCATTCAATCAATATCGTAAGCAAATCTGGAAGACGCTAAAGGCTACCACACGATTCAGTGAGGCTTGTTGACCTATGATTTGAGCACCCGCTCTTTGTTAGGCCGTAAACCAGGCAGAACGTAAAATTATTATTGTGAAAACAGCAGGGTTGCGACATGCACGGAAACTTGTCTATCACACTCTGAACGTGCTGGCCGCCCAAGCGACTGACTTGCTGACTGACCGGCTCGGCTTTGTCATTGGCGAAGGCGGAACAAGCAAATGCTAGAGCATGCAGCCAAGTTCGGTGAATTGCGTATTTCTAAAAACCAATTTGCTAAAAGGTTGTTTGTCGCCATTTTCTCTTAAAGGGCAACTCTGGCCAAAACTCAAAATGGAATAAATTACTGGTATCGCTGTAGTGACACAAAATACGACCGCACCCAATATATTACGTCCGTGGGACGCTGCTTTCTCAACTAATGCCAATAAAAATGGGACCCGCCGCGAGCCGCTGCTCCTTAGCGGGCGGCCAGCGGGTTGCCGATCGCTAAAGCAACATTAGGCCGTGACGTCAGTATCATTCTCTTTTTTTTCTCCGGTCCAGGCGTTGCGCGGAGTGCGCTTCTCTGAGCCGCTACCACCGCTACTTCGGCTTGTGATTGGCGTGTTTCGCCGTTGCTTTTATCTGTAGCCCATGTAGCTTCGGTGTAGCCTTTTGTTTATTTGCTTGCGAGGACTCCAAGACTCGTTTTAGGGAGCACTTCGGTGCGCCCAAGACTGCCCAGCTGTTCCTTGAAAGATGCCGAGTGCAATTTGTAGCGCTGTGGGATGCTCAAACAACCCGCTGCGCAGCACAGAGGTGCTTTTTCACAAGTTTCCGACGGACCGGAAATTGGAGAAGGTGTGGGTGAATGCTGTTCGGCAAGTGGACTTTGGATTTCGGCTTTTACGCGCCCGAGGAAAAAAAGAACGGAAAAACAGACGCGTACAGCCCAGCACACGTGTTCCGGCGCCGCGGCCCATGCCGGAGAGCCTCAAAGCTTCGTGTCTCGGACTGTACGTTACTGGCAGCGCGGCATAGACCAACGCCACTCCATCCACGGAGCCCCGATGACAATTTAGGCCCAGCGACGAGTACGGAAGACCGCACACACGGCGACAGCCGCCGAGTACGGCACCGAACGAGTTCACTCGTTTTGCAGTCGCTAGCTTTTGGGTATACAAGCGACGGGTATGGCATAGCGCACGCACGGCGGCGGCCGCCGAGTACAGCACTGTACGAGTTCACGGGTTTTCCAGTCGCTAGCTTTTGGGTATATGCACTAACTCTTGCTACATATCTTTAGACGGCTAGCGCAGCAGAGTTAGGTGCCGCTCGGCCTGCGTACGCGTTGAACGAGAACGATCCTGACGTCACGTTCACATTGCGGCAGATTTCCAGTGTTGCCGGGGCCTCGAGCGGCTAGTTTCAGTTTTGTTGGCCGCGCCCCAAACAAACTTTTGGGGCGTCGATATCTTTAAAACTATGCACAGTAGTGAGGAAAAAATTACACCTTGCAATTCAGGGACGCTCACTAAACACTGTCATAATCCCAAAATTTAAAGTATGGACCGGAGTTGCCCTTCAACTGAGTGTCTTCTTGAAAGGATTCAAGAAAAGGGAGGTTTCAAAACCGGTGCTTGGGAAAACAGATGCCTCCGCTCAGGCGGTACACGCCGATGTTCTCAGATCTATCGGTTGACAAGCTCCACGGAAGAGCAGCGTTAAAAAAAATGAGACGTTTACAATTCTCTGTAATGCAAAAATAGAACGCAGCACTTGACGAGGAGGGGAGGGTTTACCTCTCCTTTCCCTCCAATTTAGCAGAAAATGTTAGCTAAATTTCCTGCCCAATTTAGCGGGTTAAGTTTCCCCGCTAGACTTAGCGGGAAAATTGACGTCGCGTGACCTCAACACCAATTCAATTTCCTGCTAAATTTAGCGAGGTAGTTACATAGACGGTGACACCGCTAAATGCGGAAACAGGTGCCTAAGAGCTATAAGAACCACAATAAAATCACTTTCCACTGCAGGTAATGTGCATCGAACATTCCACCAGATCTGTCCATAGGGCGGGCTGATAGTGTGGCAGGCGCCACTGAGCGGACGCACCGCAAAAAGGCGTCTGGCGTTTTCAGAAGCTTGTCAACTGACCTAGATGTGAGAATGTTTGTACATGTATTGCTACCATTGCCCAGCGGGACCGGATATTGTTGGAGATCTGTGTTTCCTGAAAAATGTTTTTACAATGTTCACACTTTGGTCAATGCAAGCACATCTTTTCTTCCACTAATATTGACTAACAGCATTGCAGCAATCAATCCAGTTGACACCGAAATGTTATAAGCAATAAAGAAATTAAAACCAGTCTGTTCTGTGAGTGCAGATTTTATATCTTCTTTTATTGTTAAGGGCGGCACCGATTTGTTTGTCCCTTCATTCAAGCATGCATTCCATCTCCGAGAAATCATGATCTTCCATTGTGCTGGAAGAGGTCTCGTAGTGCAAGTAAAGGACGCTGGTGACATGTATAGGGTAGACAGTCATTGCCTCGTTTCCTTACTGTATGCTCGTTTGAAAGTGTCTAGATAGTTATACACAGACATGGGTCTTTTTACTCCAGTTAAAAAGCGGCACTATTCAATGCAATTTTTTTTCGAAGGTTGCTCAGGAAAAACTATTTTATGTAAATTTGAATACACAGCACCATTTGTTTTTGACGGAAGCAAGTTCAAGTAATTTATTTTAATTTATAACATGCTTTTGATAAGATCAACCACAAATTGGTTTCGTAAAAACCTTTATTGCATGGCGTAGCATTGCTACTCTTAAAAGTCGCTCACAAGGTGAGGACGCTGGGAGAAACCTCAGTTCCCTGCCTCCAGCATGAGCTTCCTACCTTCGGCAATGCATAGAGGCCGGACATTTGTAAGACACTCCCAGCCATACGCATTCCGTTAACGACTGTATCTAACATATCGCCCGAATTGTGCACGGGTGTTCAGTAGACCATCACGTTTTTGTACCAACTTGAAGTGTGCCTCGAGGACCAAATGTAAGACGAGAATGGCAGGGAGGAGCTTCCTACATTTGGCAATGCTTTGGCATCTTGCAAGCTTCAACAATCCCAAAGAGTGAAAGCATGAGAAAAGGCGATGTGCTCGCCGGAGGTTTGGAGGTTGGGCATTAAGAGGTGCCCTGCATTTCTCATCTTATCAGCGACTATTCGCACCGAGATGTTCTGGTGATATCCTTTTTCGTTTGCGACATCACGGGCAGTTTGATACTTCAGCCCCATGTTCCAGGTAAGAAAAAGAAAAGCCTTTCATGCAAGGCTTGTCAAAATATTAGGTGCCAGAAGATATCTGCCATCTACTTTCAGTCTTTATTAAGAATCCTATGTTCATGTTCTGCGGCCGCATTGAAAAGCACTGCAAAAGAGCCCACATACTGCGCTGCCATCTTGGAATCACATGACACAGCCGCCATAAAGTGGCTTCAAATTGTCGCTCC